TGAAATTTGGGTCTTACACCAATTCATATGATGCGGGAATCAGTCCTACTGAAAATTTTCACCTCCAAAAAGAGATAAAAAAAAATTTCGGGTGGCAAACTGAAAAGCAGTTGGTAGATTATGATTCCTAAAATTTCCCTTAATTCATTATTAAATTTGACTAAGGGGGGTGTGAAAGCATATACACTGGCTAATGCGATGTACTTGTACGGAATCGCTCTGAATCGAACTCTGGAACTATCAGGGGAAAGTGCTCTCAGCGATGGACGAGCAATCATTGAAAACACATACGGCGTTTATAATGGTATGCGATTTTTGAAAGCAAAATTCTTTCAGAATTAAACGCTTAATTTTAAAAAGTGCATTTTACGCCACATCAAAGTAAGAGTTTGCAATAATGTGGTAGCTTTCTTATTTGCTAACTGACTCAGCTTATTTATTTGCTCGCTACTTTTTTGTCTGAAACGACTACTATCCCAGCACGGATTTATATTTCGAACGCTCTCCATACGTGCAGCTGACAATTGACATCAGCCTTGGGTTCTCCGCATTCACAATACATCAGTCATTCGAGTTAACGGATTAGCCCGACGCGGCAGTCGTAAGATCTACTAACTGAACAGCGGGGCTTTAAAAGGGAAAAGGTTTCGCAACTGAGTGCTCATTTTGACACCTGAGATAACTATAATGTGAACTCGGAAAGAGCATGAAACATTTGCAAAGAAAAATAAAGTGCAAAATTTTTGTGTGCGGCTGAAATAGCTATACGAACTTAAAGCTGGCGCCAAAACTAGAAGCCAGTTCCAGCTAGTACTGAGGGGGCTGCTGGGTCAAAAAAATCCCTCGACATTTTAGGGAAAAAAACATTCGTTTGTTATTAGCGCACTCGGTATCTCCGTTGTTGTGGAGAAGGGACTGGAAGTGCATTCTGAGGGAACAGCAGTTAATTCACATTTGTCTGAGCCTTTGCTTTAATAAATTTCGCAGACGCTAAACTAATTTCTTGCTGAAAAGTATTGCAGGTTTTGCTGGTAAATTTGTGCAGCGCACTGATGGAGACGAATATGCGAGATATCATTTGCTGGGCTTAAACGATGATTACGAGCCACGTTCGTATGTTAAAATAACGGTTGATGCTAACTTATCGGTAAGCTATCTCATTAATTAAGATAACTCATCTAGTTTCAAACTTGCGCATTATCTGTGATAAGAAATTCATATAGCATTTACTGGGATGCAGTCATCAAGCAGGGAGGTGGATTTTTGTCTCAAAACTGAAACAGCAAGCTTGCAAAACTCCTACAGATGTTCATTTCACTATTAGTTTAAGCGATTTTAATAAATGTATTAAAGCGCCAAGGGCGATCGAATTTCAGTACTTCGTGCAACATTAAAAAAACCATGGGATCTAACAGAGTATAAAATAATTCAAAAAGCCTAAAATAGTGAGAAAATGCAATTCAGGATGTAACCACGGTCTATAGTAACAAGCATTTTATTAAATTCAATCCAAGTTCGTCTAGTATTTGAACCTGAAGCCCTGAAAACATCCTTGCGTCCGTTAAAAGCTTTTCATGCATGATTAGATTTTGCCTGCCTTAGTGTTCAATTTATTTAACTTTTTTGTCATCTCTCAGTTTCTGCTTCTGCAAAAAATGCACACCATTTATTTATCTGGATGCAATACGTATCATAACAGACTCTGGAAAAGCTGTACGTTAATGGAGCAACAACAATCTGGCGACGTTACGGTGGAAAAGTTCCACCAGCAACACCAATTTGTGGATATGAAGGGCGGTATTGTCCGCAAACATTTGGACAACGTTACCTACCGCACCTGATCGTCGGATGTTCATGCATCCTGGCCATGATTCTTAGCGCAGTTTTTTTCATACTCTATACAATCCGGTGATTTTTTTTTTCTAAATGTTTTTAATTTATTTTTCATGGAAATTTCAAAGTTTCTGTTACCACTGAGACA